AAGCCACACTCACTGTATGGCCCCATTCTATCCAAATCTGCCCTCCTCCTCTGCATCTGATCCATCCTGATCGGTCCGCACTGGAACATGCCAAACACTCAAACTGTCTGGAAGTGTGAGGGAGATGTGCACTGGAGTACTTAAGCGTAAAACTACAGAAGCTAGACACTGTGGGTAAAAGGAGCAAGTAGCTGACACAAAACAGTCACAGATATATAAAGCATGGCATGTGGCACACTAACAATTGAGTATGTTAATATAACTCGCTGTTAATTTATCCTATTTAATATATGAAAGAATCTATATGCATCCATCATAGACTTTAAATGACAGAGCATGAGTCTGACCTTGAGCACCGACAAACTACACTTCATACCTGTGAGTCGACAGTCTACAGCAAATAAAATATTACTGATCACACAGAACAAGCACTAAAACATGCAGAACGGTTGCCAGAACTAATCAATCGAGACAAGGATGTCTAAATATTGAAGGAAGCCTACAGTATGTGACAAAAGAAAGAATGACTCAAAGGCCTCCTCCTCACATTGTCATATATGTGTGAATTTTAGGGCAAGTATGATTAGCAACAATAAAGTTGAGTGTAAGGTATTTGCTTTCTCCATATTTAGGATTTTATTCATATAATTGTATGCCTATAAAATACACTACACTATGATTTATTATTTAGACATTATGCATTATATTGTTCAGCACAAATAATGAATTAGCCTTACTGACTTTCTGTTTATTAAGATAAGTGGTTATTTTATTTTATTTTATGACATTATTTGGCAGATCTGGGAGAATCATTGGCCTAATTACACTAATAATTTAAACTAAAGCAAAAGGGATTATGCCGAGTTAAAAGAAGTCAAAACTGCTAATCAGTCATTTAGTCGTTATTAGGATATTTCGTCAGCAGTTCATTTCATATTCAAAACTGAAACAAAAACAACAAAAATAATTTGTTTAATAATAACAATGACCTATTAATTTATAAATGATATTATTATTATTATTATTATTATTTCAGGGCAGTTCGCTGGACCATTTTTTAATTGACAGCACTGGGACGATTCAGGGTCTTGAACATATCGGGTTAATCAATAGCCCCTCATTACTATTTTATCCACGGTCATCATTTCCACAAGCTCATCCCACCCGAAACGGAGGCGCAATTAACGGCCAGTACTTGCCTTGCATTGTTTCTCTGCAGAAATGCACTGAACATGATGAAAACCCCAGAAATGTCAATCCTGGCCATTAATGAGGGGCTACAGACAGTCGCAGTGACGGTCGCTGATTCATATCACCAGCATGCCTTTTGCCAGTCATGTAATGCGCATCCGAGCTATAGGCGTCGTAAAGTTGGTGATATACATTATGGCATGATAAAAATGAACTGCCTTATGCATTGCCTGCATGCGTGCATTATCAATATAATTAGCTGGCGTTTACGTGAGTGGCTATATGACCTTATAAAGACGGGAGCTATCCAGGGTCCTGCCAGGCCCACATACACATTTAAAGCTGCTGAAAAAGGATTTAAATGTTGCCGTTACAAATTATAAGAATCAACGGCAAATGCAATGTTTTTTTTAATTGTATTTATTTTTTATTAGCCATATTTAAAATATTTCCATATCAAATTTAAAAGAAAAACCTCAAGTGTGCCAAAAAAGTGTAATGTCTCATTAAAAATGAATAAAAATTGATTTTCTGTGTTAAATAAATCCCTAGGCCTCATTTATAGGTCTCAAGGTGACATTTTTCAACTCATAAAGACAACATTTTTTTATCAAGTAACAATTTTCCTTACAAATTACATTCAAAACCACATATTTAGCTTACCTGGTGAATACTGTGTCTGAACAGTTACTTTTCGGGTTCATCATAAAATGTTATGCAGACACACAAATTATTCAAAATATTTTCAATTCACGACTGAATTGAAAGAATGCCGTCAATGGAATAACTAATGACCCGTCTGTATATACCATCACACGAAACTCCCTCAGCTATTTTTTCCCAGCGTCCACTTAAATGATCTGAGGATCAAAAGAGGGCAAAATTTGGTGCTCTCGAAAACCTGAGAAATTCTGTCAGTTTTTGCATATGGTTTTAGTGCCTTAATCCCAATTAGGCCCGGTTGACACACAGAGCCATTCACTGCAAACCTCCTCTGAATACATTTGCCTAAAAATGAACTTCACAAATAGAGCTCGCGGTAAAGGCGTTCGACAGCAGAGAGAATCGGATAGACTGAAGGTTCATTCTTACGCGCTCGAGTGAAAAAGGGTATGAATTTATAAAGTACACCGAAACATTTCAATTCAGACAAGTTTACACCCCATTATGCGAGGCCTTTCAACTGGGACAAGAGAGTTAAAGTTGGGGAAATTCGGTTCAAAAGGCAGAGCTAACTTTGTTCAGGCTTTGAATACTGAAAGGAAGCAGCCCCCTTCCTTTGGAGAGCATTTAGAAATGGGAGCACGCATGAACAGAGTCGAATCAGTAGCCACTTATCTCGCCACTTTCTAATGCGACTTTGAATATTAGTCTGGGTTAAAATCCCAATCATGTCATCTGGTGGGACTCCCATACAAGCATAATTACTATTCAATCGCGTCACTAATGTCCCACCCGCATCCCCTATCTGCGACGCAGCTAATCCGGCCTTTCTGAGGCTTGCACTTGCACCCGCAACGAGAGCGAGTGGGTTAAGCGCATTAGGCATGTAAGATTAATATTTGTAGCCAAACATATTTATATACATTTAAAATACATTAATTAATTTATTAATAAATAATCATCATTTTTTTCCAAGCTTTAATTTTTGAAGCACAACACATCATGCAATGAGACTTGTTGAAATTGATGCACAACTCAAGTAAAAATAAGTGATTTGTACAAAACAAGCTGTTGTCCTTATTTGCAATGGGAGTAGCCTACATAAAAGGAAACCAACGAAAAAAAGAAAGTAAGAGCCCATACAGGGGATTTGTATAGATGAGCGTTTATGGTTGGCGTAAAAAAAAAGAAGTTTTCTAGAGAGCCCGGGCATTGTGCATAGTTGAGATAGAGTTGTGAGCCCTTGGCATCGAAGCCCAGTTTGGACGCATGAATGCAACCCCTGGTGAGACACTGCAGTTCTTCACGCAGTCTCTGTTACCCTACATTCATGCTTCATTATTTGGCAACCTGTTAAATCAAATCCAACATTTAGCTCGAATTGTAACGCTGAGACCCTGAGAAAATGCTTTCAAGCACCTGACCAACACTTTCTCCGAATCTCACAATCCGACGCGTAAAAAATGTCATAGAATGCTCTGTTCGGGTCCACAATGTTGTTCCGAAATAAAGCTGCTGCCGTGTAATTAATGTGCCGTTTAAAAGACAGCGGACAATGCGAGCGTTCAAGCTATTTGATTTCATTTAATTTTCCATCCCATTTGCTCTGAACACTGCTTTAGCTCCCAAAAACCGTGCTCCAATGAGCGCTTTGGGATGACTTTCACCCTTTGCTTCTCCCGGTGAGGAGGACAGAAAAGAAAAACGTCCTCGTTTCCGCCTTTGTGCACAATTTATTAGTCGGAAAACTTCGACTTTAAAGACACAAGACGAGAATGAGAATGGGCCCGGCTGGTGTGAGAGCTGTAGAGGCCGGACCCGCTGTTGCAGAGCGGATGGGAACCAGTCACAAATGGCAACATTAATAAATAACCCACCACACAGCCGGCCTTTGCATGCGCCTATTCAAAAATTGTTCGCGTGTCGTTCACGCTCTTTGACTCATTAAGGAGCCCAAAGAGAAAGCTCCCAGAAAGGAGCAGTGGGGTACCTTTTCCCGAAGAAAGAAATCCCACCTCTGCTTCTCCAATTACAGCGGAGTGTCATCGTAGAGTCGCCAGGCCAGAGGTTAGCAGGACATGTCCATGGCTTGAATTTATCGCCCACAAATTCTTGTTTCTTTCCCTGGGCCTATGTTCAGTCATTGAGGGCCACGATCAAAGAGGTCAAACGAAGTTTTAAAACCAGTGGTAACAATACCACTAAAGTCACTTCAAATGACACCCAAGGATCCTGAGTGAATGTAGTGAACTCCTCTTGCCATATGCCTGAATGAAAAAAACAAACAAACAAACAAAAAAAACGCGTATTTAAAAGAAAATTCGAAATGTTCAAGTGTATTAATTAGTGCAGGCTAAATGATTACTTTACCGGAACGTTTAACAATAAAAGAAATAAAAGTAGTATTGCTTTCTCCTTGAGAATATTCAGTACAAGTGAAGACACCGAAAGCTGCTAGATGAAATATTGGCAAGCAGCAACTCTTGTCTTTGTACAAGATTTCGTGTTTTGTCCTGCATCCTTTGTTAAAAAATTTCTTTTTTCACACTTTCCATTAATTCTGGAGCCCCCTCAGGGCGCTTCATCAAAACTGAATGCGAACATCCTGATACGTGACCTGTTGTCAAAAAGTGTGAAATGATAAGGTGGTGGTTATTTTGAAAGCGGCTCTTATTTTTTTGGCTGGTTCTCCCGTTGAGTACCTGCCCGGTCCCAGCACGGCACACGCCGGGAGTCAATAGAAGTTAACAAGTCTCCCAAACATTCCTGCTCCTTTTGTTGAAACGGCAACAGACAATGCAGCCAGGGTGAGAATAAAGAGCTTTGAAGTACATAAAACCTAAAAGGATGCAGCCAAGTAGATTTAAAGTAGTCACTGATTTCCAAAAACTGGTTTGTATAGGAACAATAAAAGGGGGGAGAATTTATGGAGAAATTATACAGTGGATTTGTCACTTAAAATATCGGAACTGTCTGGCGGACAAAGCCACATGCTGAGGATTAATGGTTGCGCCAGACCTTTGATTCTGCACTCTCTTTTCTCTGCCCTTGACAAATTGGATTTTGGGGATGGGAAGGTCGCTGGGGCCTATTGTCTCTTGACCATTTGGAGCGGTTCATTATGCGTGAGGGTGAGGGAAAGTCTCCATGTGACCATTTCGGAGGGTTCTACAGCTGCTAAAAGAGCGCAACTCTCTCATAGCTCGCTGCTCGCCCTTGCGCCGAGGGGTACCTGACTGCGCCATAAGAAAAGCCGGATCACACACGCCACCGCGTCACTTGGCGCGCGGATATTAGTCTGTCCTCATCTCAGACTTTCCGCTCATCTCAATCAGTGCCTGCTTGGTCTTCCTGGTTCGGATAGCGCAGCCCCACACAGAGCCAGCCATGCAAGCGACTCGGACACCCACTATCAGTGTGTTCGCCGACTGCAGCATCCCAGCCGGGCTTCGGATATATATATATATATATATATATATATATATATATATGGAAATTGTACCTTGAGAGAAATGTGAAATATTTTCATTTACCATTGCAAATGGATAAAGCATTCGTGACATTTTAAACAAGACGTGCAAAATATATATATATATTAAAAAAAGGCTAGATCATGAATGCAAATATACCTTTACGTTTATAATTTTTCTGCAGCTTTTTTATTCAAACTACTGAATGACAACTACATACAAGTATTAAACTATACAATAATAACCGCTAATAATAACTATTATGATGTCTTTTTAGATTAAAGTAATATTATTATTAACATATTATTATTATTATTATATTAATAACAATATCATTGCTTTTATTTAAAAACAAACATGCAGCTAAAAAAAAAAGTTAAGAACATTACTCGACAACTTCACTCGATTCTGACCTGTCACTCTTCATAAAGTATCCTCGTATTAATTGGTTTGTGCTGTCGGTTTGGAAATAATTGAGTTATATTAACAGGACAACATGTCATTCTATGCCTTTCACTTAACCGCGTTAATAGGGTGACCTGAGTTTCTGCGCGAGATTTCATGCCCTCGCCCCCTTTAAATTTCAAAGGCTGGAGGGCTGCTTATTCCCATGTACCATTTCATTTTTGTAAAAAGATAACAGTAAACTAGACAATAACCAATCAGTAAATAAAATACTGCTTACATTTAACTGGAAACACTGCTAAATATTAGTAAAAATCTTAATTCTATTAAATACAAGCGAAGTCAAATGTATTAATATATATATTCCATTATTTAAAATTATAGAAAATATTTTAATTATTTTATTCTACAAGTCTATTAATATGTGGAATATTCGTAAGTCAAAGGGGCGAAAAAGGCGTCACATGCGGAGGAATTCCTAAATATAATATTTTATGAAATAATAGTAAGCACGTTTTGATGAGCAACAAACGGATTTAAGTAACGCCGCCACCAGCAGAATCAAGGCAAATCCCATTCAAATCCGATTTAATAGGCTTATCTGAGAATGCTGTCAGATTATCCGTGTTTAGTTAGTAAATCGAAAGGTCTGTTGTCTGGGGCAGAAACTCTTATTGATTGGTTGAGAATTATTGAGCTGAGTACACACATACTGCAAGCTACTGTATTTGCTATAATAATATATGTATGATTATACTCAGCACTAGGGCTGCATTATCTCTCCTAATTCATTTCATTCACTAATAAAGTCCTGGATGTCCTCTCATGGGCTGATGCGCGTTGTAGTTTAGCGAGGGGAAGAGGTTAACAAATGTCATCTAGTCATTAATATTCATGTATTCAAAAGCAAATCAATTCAAAAAGGTGCTCTACGGTAAATTAGCTGGCTGCGTAAGGTATTGTTGGCTAGTGAATGCAAACTTTTATGTGGGATGTATATTGCCCTGATTTGCGACGCTGTACTGCGAGCGCTGCTCTACGGCCAATACGCGGTGCGCTCCTTGACATACGCTTCATATTCTCCAGCGCCAACAGATGGGCCAGCCTCATTGTCTTATGCGACTAGCGATTTCAAGCAACAGCTGCCGTCAATTCCACGGGAAAGCGCACAGAGAAAGTCGCTATTCAATGTATTGGTTTGTAAGCGCCAGATTGGGCCGGCGCTTGCTCTTATGATGGTGACAATAAACAACGGGGTTTTGCAGATTTCAAAATCTTTACATTTATATCATTGACCCCAGACTGCCCAACTGGTGTCATGCCAACGTGACCAAGGCGAGGTGATTAAAAAGTCACGACTGCAGGCTTTAAAATGAAAGGTTATCAGATTCCGCAAAGAACCATTTCTGATCAATAATTATTTTATACGCGTTCTTGAGTTGCCTGTGTGCATTAAAAACATCTTTATCGCGGTGCGCTCCTTGACATACGCTTCATATTCTCCAGCGCCAACAGATGGGCCAGCCTCATTGTCTTATGCGACTAGCGATTTCAAGCAACAGCTGCCGTCAATTCCACGGGAAAGCGCAGAGAAAGTCGCTATTCAATGTATTGGTTTGTAAGCGCCAGATTGGGCCGGCGCTTGCTCTTATGATGGTGACAATAAACAACGGGGTTTTGCAGATTTCAAAATCTTTACATTTATATCGTTGACCCCAGACTGCCCAACTGGTGTCATGCCAACGTGACCAAGGCGAGGTGATTAAAAAGTCACGACTGCAGGCTTTAAAATGAAAGGTTATCAGATTCCGCAAAGAACCATTTCTGATCAATAATTATTTTATACGCGTTCTTGAGTTGCCTGTGTGCATTAAAAACATCTTTACGACGCATTACTAGATTTTTTATTTTTGTTGATCTCAAAAAGGCTCTTCAGTGTAATCTAATTGTAAAACACTTTCCTGCACAAAGCAACGCCATTTAATTGCTTCTCAATTTTTTTTCAGGCGAGGAGCGCTATATTTGCTGGTACTGCTGGAGAATATACAAATACCCGAACACCCTGAAAGCTCACGTGCATTTCCACTGTGCGTTAAGCAACTGCAGAAGTTTGGTGAACAACGAGCAAGCTAGAGGCACAGACAACTTTAACAGATCTCCGAAATCAGGGGACATCCCAAATACGTCCTCCTCTCCACGGAACGGCCACAGCACCTTTATGCCAGACGCGGTGAAACGGGTCGTGTCCACCTCACCGTTCGCCAATAAAGCGGGACTATCGAAAAAACCGAGCGCAGAGGAGCAGGACAGAGCCCTTGACATGAGCGTGACCTCCGCCAGAAACCCCGGACACATCCTGGGCCTCGGCGGGACATCTTCTGTGCTCAACAGCATGGGTTTCCACCCAGGCGTGCGCTCTGCTTTCAAACCAATGGGACTTTCGAAGATCTCCCCGGCCGAGGTCACGAGAGACGAGCCTAATGGGAAACCAAACAGTATCGGGTTTAGCAAATTACTGGGGAACATTAAGTCACCTCTACCTAACGTTCACCCCTCAAAATGCTCGCACCCCATGGACAGCACACCTCCCGTGATTCCCTGCGCAAACAGCATCCGTGGCTTTCCTCTGCTGCCACATTTTGAGGAGACCTCTGCTTTCAAGCACGTTGACAGCCGCATGCACCCTGCCCTGTCCCCCCCGCGTTACTCCCAGCTACCGGCCGGGTTTCACTTCGAGAGGTTCTCCTTGCCACAGTTTGATGGGGGGAAATCCTACAATGGGGACTGCAATATACCCCTCATGCCATTCACGGTTTACAATGGAGAGCTCCTTTATAGCTCCCCATACTACCCTCTAAAATTTCACTTCGGCAACCTGCTTAAATACCCAGACTACTTTGGCGCACCAGCTCTGAATCCAGATCTAAACGCGATTACGAACATCGACAGGGAGATAGCGATGCACACGCAACAGCTGTCTGAAATCGCCGTAGAGAAGAACCGTTCACGACTGGAGTCTCTGCCCGCATCTAACCCCAATTCGGGCAAGCCAAAAAAGGGACATTTGTGTCTATACTGTGGCAAATTGTACTCTCGAAAATACGGGCTGAAGATTCACATGAGGACTCATACAGGCTACAAACCACTCAAATGTAAAGTGTGTTTTAGGCCCTTTGGCGATCCCAGCAATCTCAACAAACACATCAGACTGCACGCGGAGGGAAATACGCCCTACAGGTGCGAGTTCTGCGGGAAGGTGCTCGTGCGCAGGCGAGATTTGGAGAGGCACGTCAAATCGAGGCATCCAGGTCAAAGCATCAAAAAATCCGAAGACAAAATCGAAGGCATCTTCGAGGATGGCGAACAAAAAAGCGACAACGACAGCGACGTCGACGTTTGCTTCACAGAGGACCATAGCGACCAGGAATCGAGTAAACACAATGATTAATGGACCAATTTTTGGACATGTTAAAATGGACTTAAATGCTTTTAAGTAGCTAAATTATGCATGTACATAAATTAGTTTTGAATTGTTTGTTTATTTGATCAAACTATTGTGAAAAGAAAACCTTGCGGAAGCAAATGCTCCCCTAGTAAATTAAATAATTTTGTGAAGGAGGCACTCAAGTTAATCTAATAACATGCTTATTGGTATTGAGGACATCTCGGCACCCCCAATGTGGAGCTGCACTTTATAAAGACGGGTTAATGCCATAAAACATGAGTCTGCGTTTTTAAAAAAAATTTTTTTTTTTATTGTCTGACCGTTTAAATTACCTGTCAGATCCGCACTTTTATTACCAAAAGCATTTAACACATTCTGTAAAAAATGATCTTTGCAGAACAACGGGCACCTACCAATAAAAATAAAGTGGTGTTTAAAAGAAATACCGGTGTGTCTATTTAGTCATAAGCATTTGTAAAAAAAAGAAAGAAAAAAAAGTGTATATTATGACTTCCTTCATTGTTGAGTGACAGCTGTAGCTTATATCATTTATTATTATTATTATAAAAATAATAATAATTAATATTGTATAGGCCTATGCCATTTTCCCCCAAACAAACTCAATTTTTTTCACTGTCCGTTTTGAATAAATGGGGAAAATAATGAAAAGGGTTTGATCATTAATATACATTTCATATATTACTTTTTTTATTAATTTTTTTATTGGAGGATATCTACGGCTGACCATTTGTCTGATGAAAAGGGTTTGATCATTAATATACATTTCATATATTACTTTTTTAATTAATTTTTTTATTGGAGGATATCTACGGCTGACCATTTGTCTGTGGCTTCAAAACAAGCTCCTTGAAAAGAACTTACGGTATGGCAGGAATTGCTGACCTACACACCCCACTATTACTTCGAAGATGTGCTTCATTGTAGTTTAAAATTAAATATAAATTAAAACGTGGAAGGCATATTCGTAAAATGGTCAAGGTTAGACTTGCCTTTATGACCCGAAACATAACCGTCTGGCTTTAATATTTTTACTAATTGAGAAGACATACAGAATAGATGTGAAAATCTAATTTTCCTGGATTTACTTTCAGTAAATTGCTCTATTTCTCAGACAGCAGATTAGATAATTACAATTACATATAGCGGTTAATGCTTTTCAGCAACTCAATTTCATCTACGTTTCTTACAATGTAAAAATCGGTTAGTCAGCTGTTATCTTATAGAGCTCTATTTCTTCCTGAAATAACTTTTAAAAATAACTTTTAATTATATTACTTAAAGTAGGCATGGATTCAGTCGTAAAAAAAATATTTGGTATGAATAAAGCCTGTTAACTTTGATGTTATAAAGCACAGTTTTCAACTAACCGCTTCCTAGGCTTACTAATTAAATTACTTATCTCTATCTCTCTTCAACACATTAAATATATATATATATATATACTGCAAATCAACAATTACATCTTGACTGAATATAGTGAAGTCTTCCAAGTAAGGAACAAATCCAAACAGTCACACTTAAGTTATAGAAATGTACCATTAAGGTTGGGGGATGTGGATTTTGTGCACAGCTGAAATAGCAGTCTCTCTCCACACAGAATTCTTTGCTTTATTTCTTTCTCTGTCCTTCTCCAGATTGCTGTGTCCTTGATATGGTGCATTCTTCTTCTCCTCTGTGGCAATGCCTTGGCATTCTTCATACAGTCCTTTGTGAAAAAGAAGTGCACTTAAGTATACTTTTATGAAGTGTACTTATTGCGGAAATAATATACTAAAAAAAACACACGTAAGTGCAAATTAAATATACTATTTTCGCTGCTTAAGTACATTCTATTTGTAATTAATTTCAAACGAATCACATTTTAAAGTTATATTAAATGCAATAAATTGAACTTTTGAGTGATTTTTTTAAACCACTTAAGTTGGACTTTTTAGTACATCTTTATATGTACAATTATATGTTCATAATTGCTTCTAGTGTCTTTAAAATATGGTGCTACTACTGTATAAAGTGTACTACTAATGTACCGACAAGCAATTCATGTTAACTAAAATATACTTTGTCAGTTAACAATACACTTAAGTGTGAATTAAATGTAATGTTTTTGACCACCTAAATGCATATTATTGGTACTTGATTTCAAATATATTAGTTTAAAATTACATTAATTGCAATTAGTTGAACTTTTGAGTGATATTTTTGAACCACTTAAGTGTTAAGTTTTATATGTACTTCTGAATAAGCAATTAATGTGAACTAAAATATACTTCAATGTCATATATCTCTGGCAATGAAGTTGAAATTTAGTATATTTAAAATATCTTACCTACAATCAACACAAACATAAAATGGAAAACCCTCTACATTTATTAACAAAACAATCTCTAAAACAAATACACAAAAACGCTTTTTGCTGATGCTCAAGAAAAACACTATACACAGTTACAACACTTTAACTCACTTATTAGAGTCTGGAGAACAATGCAAAATCACTTACATACTTACAAAAGTACCTAATCTCGCCATCATAGAAAACATAATTCTGTATGATGTATAAGCCTGTTTCCTCATTGGAGACCTAAAAATGTCCACAAGGTCAGAATTTACTGGTATTAATATCCTTGTGGAGTCATTTGGTCCCCATAACATATAACAGGGGTGGCGAACTCCGGTCCTGGAGAGCCGCAGTCCTGCAGAGCTCAGCTCCAACCCTAATTAAAACTCACCTGCCTGTAGCTTCCTAGTAACCCTTCAGGCCTTGATTAGCTTGTTCAGGTGTGTTTGATTAGGGTTGAAGCAAAACTCTGCAGGGCTGCGGCTCTCCAGGACCGACGTTCGCCACCCCTGACATATAAGATTACTAACACACAAACACTTAATACAAAAAAATGCAAGAGAATTATAATTCCATGTACAACAAATGAGACCTTATTGTAAAACATTACAAAACTGTGTTACTTGTACCCCTGGTTTAAGCCTAGCCCCAGACTAAAATGCAATTCTGAGCTGTTTCAACTGAAAGAAAATTGCACTGACTGATCTTTAAAATTATCAGTGCCTTTATTTTGTCTCAAGATGCACACCAGTAATGTTTAAGACATGTTAATGAAAATTACTTAAATGTCCTTATTGAACTATGGCCTAATCCTGCCTTAGTCTAAGCCCTGTCTATGAAACCAGGCCATTAGTTCTCAAAACTTTACTAGTACCAGCATTAAGCAGGACTGAAAGTTTTCTTCTAAAATCTTACTCCAGCATTAGTGAATGCAAGTTTGACTAAATAAAAATAAAATAAAAAAAAGAACTCCAAATTAACTTGCTGGTAAGTGCTGTTTGTCAATGTCCCAGAAGCTCTCCATCGGCAGTAAACTTCAAATGCCATGAAGCTGCACACCATCTCTCCACAGTATGTGTGAACGGAAATGTTCCAAAGAGGCAGGAAAGTCAGAAAAAATACCTTGAGGGAAGAAAGAAAGAATCAAACAGAAGAACAACAATTGTTCTAAAACATATCCAGTCATTACAAATGGTTCAGTTGAGTGAAAGCAATAGACACAGTTGCAGTCCAAAGTACACCTTGCAGTATCTGCAAAATTTAAGCAGTCAGAGGGTAGAGGGGTAGAATCATTAAAAAATTACAATTTCTGCTATGATGAAGCAGTTTATTCTGCAAGGTGTATGTAAACTTTTGACCACATCTGCATCACACCTAAGAGATGAATTACCTCAATCATCAGGGCAACATCGTAGTAGAATGCTGGGAGATGTTCCTTCACATTTCCCATAAACAGCAAAATTCCACTAACCACACCATCTTTACTGACACTGGGCTTTAAAAATAGATAACATTTTAATAAACACTTTTATTCATACGCTACAGGAAATAAAGCATAACTTTATCAATTATCAAAAAACAGATACATATCTTAAAAAAACAATAAAAATGAAGAAATAAATTAATTTTTTCTCAACTTTTTCACACTTCTTCATGAAGGATGTTCCTGTATTTACCACGGCTGGCACAGCAAAGCTACTGTCCTCATCCTTTGGTTTGTTACCTGTAAAATATACGATGATGGGGATCTGTAAATGCACAGGTGGGAATATATTACTTGCAAATGGAAAAGATTCAAATCATTTAAAATCCATAGGGATAGTGACTTAAAGGGATAGTTCACCCAAAAATGAAAATTTGATGTTTATCTGCTTACCCCCAGGGCATCCAAGATGTAGGTGACTTTGTTTCTTCAGTAGAACACAATCAAAGATGTTTAACTCAAACCGTTGCAGTCTGTCAGTCATATAATGGAAGTGAACGGGAATCACGGCTTTGAGAGTCAAAAAAACATACACAAACAAAACCAAATTAAACCTTGCGGCTCGTGACGTTACATTGATGTGTAAAGACACAAAACGATCGGTCTATGCAAGAAACTGAACAGTATTTATATAGTTTTTTACCTCTGATTTTCACCGCAATGTCCGAACTGTCATGAGCGCATTCGCATCTTCTTCTTCAGCCTGCGCATGAGGCGCCTTTTTCTTCTTCTTGTTTTACGGCGGATCGCAGACTTATAAGTGCATTACCACCACCTATGACCATTGACACTCCTAATTGAGATTGTAGATAGAGTGTCAATGGTCAATTTGAGAGAGAGGTGGCGGTAATGCACTTATAAGTCTGCGATCCGCCGTAAAGCAAGAAGAAGACGCCTCACGCACAGGCTGAAGAAGACATGAATGTGCTCAGGACAGTTCGGACATTGCGGTGAAAATCAGATTATTAAAATATGTAGGTATGCCAACCCAGTTTTTAGGATAATCATCATAATTCACTCAGATGGTGATATCAGGGGGAAAAAAGAAAAAAAAATTGTTTTGTGCAATCCAAGTGTGAATTACAAATTCATACAAATGATGTACGAATTACATTAGATAAAATATCTTCACATCCACGAAGCTCTCTGATGCATGTTCATGAGAGATTCTCAACAAATGCCTGTTCATGTGAAATGGATGCTATTGTGAAACCCAGAAGCTCTCTGCACTGTTTGCATCAGTTTACAGAGTCCCTGTTCTTTTGTTGTAAACAGTGGGTTAACTAACCTATTAAAATCACATGACAGTAACAGTAAAAATGGACACTGTCTTGCCTTGTTGCTTCAGCAAAAGCGCCATCATTTTAAAAGTATAGCTTGTACAGAAAAGTGGGTTCTGTTTTGAACACTGCAATAGTAAATACACAAAAAATGGACACATAAAAACAGGA